TGGCGTGCCCACTCTCTCTAAGGAGTGGTTCCCATTTTATCTACTCGCCGAAGCTTTCGAATCGCTGGGTGGACGATGAGCTGGGGACAACAGGCTGGCTGCTCACACCAGTGCGGGGCTTGAACCAACACAGTTCAGATGTTAAGACAGTGGGATATACCCACTGTGCCACCGCTCCCCTCACATGAAAGCATTAGCCAAAGGGGGAAAAATGAAAGACCGTCGCCTTCATAATATTGGAAACATCTTCACAAGCAGGGCTATTTTTGGGCAGGAACGCACAGGAACGGAGTCCCGGCTGGCTCCTGAGTTGGCCACGCCCAGCAGGAACTCATTAGCATAATAGGCCACACCTAACAGCAGAAACTCATTAGGATTGGCTACATTAGGGGTGTGTGGCCTAACATGCAAAGAAGTTCCTGCTACAAAAAAAGCCCAGGGTTTTGACAACAAAGTAAACAGAATAAGCAAAAGGTGGGTGTGGCTGGATGACCACACTTCTGGTAACATGGGGGTGTGGCCTAATATCCCAATGAGCTGTGCTATCAGGGATGTGGCCTAATATGCTAATGAGTTCCTGCTGTTGGGTGTGGCCTGTTATGCTAATGAGTTCCTGCTGGACTTTTTCTACAAAAAAAGCCCTGTTCACAAGCAAAAGTCTACTCTGAATTGCACGCTGAACTGACATACATTTCTTAAACACAAACTAAATAGATAAACAACGGGTGAGACACGAACACCTCTGCCACCCCAAGCTCTTTGCCAAGACCAGGACGGGGCAAGAACCTGCACGCTAGGAGGAAGTGATCTCCAGTGCAGAGCCCAGATCAGTCAGCCTGTGATGTGTGAGCAGGTGGGCAGGGGAAGAGGTGGGAAGTCAAGAGCTGGAGCTGGCAGTGGTGGGGAAACTGGAACCTGAAGTGCGGAAGGGAAAAGACACTGGGGTGCTGATCAAGGGCAAAGAGGAAAGGCCAAGTCTGTAGTATTTATACCAGGCTTCGCCAGTCCAAAGAGCCAAACTACACATTCACACAGGCTTTTAACACGTTGGGTTTCCTGGAGCCACACAGAAGGTGCAGATAATGGCTTTTTTAAAAGAAGAAAAAAGAGGAAGAAGAGGAAGAGGAGGAAGAGGAAGAGGAAGAAGAAGAGGAGAAGGAGGAGGAGGAGGAGGAGAAGAAGGAGGAGAAGAAGAAGAAGAAGAGGAAGAAGAAGAAGAAGAGGAAGAAGAAGAGGAGGAGGAGGAGGAGGAGGAGATTGGATTTATACCCCGCCCTTCACTACCCAAAGGTGTCTCAGAGTGGCTTACAAACTCCCTTCCCTTCCCCTCCCCACAACAGACACCCTGTGAGGTAGGTGGGGCTGAGAGAGCTCTGACAGAAACTGCTCTTTTTTCAAGAACAGCTCTGACAAAACTATGGCTTGCCCAAGGTCATCCAGCAGGTGCAAGTGAAGGAGTGGGGGATCAAACCCGGTTCTCCCAGACTAGAGTCTGCGCACGTAACCGCTACAACCAAGCTGGCACAGGGGGAGGAAGAGCTCCCCCCCCCACTCCCCTGAGCTGTTTTCCCATGTAGAAATAGAGGTGGGGAATGGAGTTAACTGTTTCCGTGTGGGAAAATGACTCAAAGATCCGAGGAAACTGGTTTCACTTCGTTGGAAAGAAATCTGTAGCGACCTCTGTTTCAGTGCTCCATTGGTTTTAAAATAACCTATGTAAGAAAAGCTTCGGGGCTTTTCCTCCCACTGCAATGGCATTCCAAGCCCGTCTGGAATCGCCTTTATTTTTCAAAAGCCCTTCCCCCAAAGCTGCTGTGTGGCTGCAGGGAACTTGTCAAAAACCCAGACGTGTAGTTCGGCCTAGAGACTAACAACTAATCCAGGGATGGCCTTCCAAATTGCAAAAATCAACAGTGTCAGTCCACTTCCCTTCCGAGTCTGAAGGAGGCCCTGAAGCCTTAGCACAGACACTCCCAGGTGGGTCACTTGGCTGGATACAGGGTTGCTAGGTCCCTTCGTCGCCCTGGCAGGGGGATTTGGGGGGGGGTGTTCCGGGGATGGACAGGGGCAACGTGCTCCCTGCTGATCAGCTGAAATCCTTTAAATCTCCGCAGGAGGGGAGGGAGAGGGGAGTCCATTATCCTGGGGGCGGGGCTTGGGGGTAGGGCTTTTCCTGGCCAGCAGCAGATTAGAGGCCCCGGAAGCAGGGGGAAACCCGCCCAGATGTGAGGGCTGGCAACCCTAGCTGGATGGCAGCTTCTGACTTCACCGTTCTGGGCTCAGGGCCCAAAATATTCAACACTCAACACGGGGGATCAGCCGTAGGGCGACTGGGAGAGGGGGGCCTGACCGCTTTACAGTTTATTGCCCTCCCCTCTGCTCTGATTAGGTCTCAGGCAGCACGGGGGATCACCAGCAGCAACCACAGGGGTTTTCGGGGCAGCGGCTAGGGCAGCTGGCCACAGGGAGATGGGAAGAAGAAGAAGAGTTGGTTTGTACACCCCACTTTTCACTACCCAAAGGAGTCTCGGAGCAGCTTACAAACTCCTTCCCCTTCCTCTCCCCACAACAGACACCCTGTGAGGTCGGTGGGGCTGAGAGAGCTCTGAGAGGACTGTGACTGACCCAAGGTCACCTAGCTGGCCGCATGTGGAGGAGTGCGTAATCAAACCCGGTTCTTCAGATTAAGAGTCTGCCACTCTTAAGCACCACACCAAACTGGCTTCATCCACAGCTACAGAAATGTGCAAACCATCTCCAATCTGTTCACTACAGCTAAAGGATCATGAACTTGTTTGGAAGTAGCACACCCACAATTGCTGACGTAGGGTTGAATCCAGCCCACTTTTCCTGCTCGGTCTCACCCAATTTCTCTGTTTGCTACATCCTTCTTCCGCAAAGCTTTTTGCCCATGAATAATATATAGATATAAACATGTGTGTGTGTGTGTGTTCTTAATACATTACTTCCAGCCTTGTGAATCTGACTGTTGCCTACCTATCTTTTCACCAAGTTTCTCCTTCCTCTCCCCACAACAGACACCCTGTGAGGTAGGTGGGGCTGAGAGAGCTCTGAGAGGACTGTGACTGACCCAAGGTCACCTAGCGGGCCGCATGTGGAGGAGTGCGGAATCAAACCCGGTTCTTCAGATTAAGAGTCTGCCACTCTTAAGCACCACACCAAACTGGCTTCATCCACAGCTACAGAAATGTGCAAACCATCTCCAATCTGTTCACTACAGCTAAAGGATCATGAACTTGTTTGGAAGTAGCACACCCACAATTAGTGCTGCCTTAGGGTTGAATCCAGCCCACTTTTCCTGCTCAGTCTCACCCAATTTCTCTGTTTGCTACATCCTTCTTCCACAAAGCTTTTTGCCCATGAATAATATATAGATATAAACATATGTGTGTGTGTGTTCTTAATATATTACTTCCAGCCTTGTGAATCTGTTGCCTACCTATCTTTTCACCAAGTTTCTCCTCTTCTTGTTCAGCTTCTGTTGTACAGCGATACCCCTTTTTCTTTAGTATATGGCAGATAAAAACTCCCAGGAGTCCCATGAGGAAGAAGACAGGAATCAGGGCATAAGCGATAACTTCGGGATGCCCAGTACTTTCTGTATTCGGTCGAGTTGTACCTTCTTGGCTGTGGCTCGCTAAGGCAGTCGGAAGGTCTTGATTCCCTGTGAAAAAACAACAGAGAGGCCGTTACCTCAATCCACCCTGGTGCAAAGACAGAAATGTTTCACATTCCTAAATTGCCTCTCAGTCCAGAAATACAAAGCTCCAGGCAGCACGAGGCCTCACCGATTAACGAGTTTGGTCACTGATCGAGAGCTCTGTGTTTGTTCACTGGCAAATATATTTAAAATTTACAGTAAGTGGGACCCACACATCCCACCCCTGTTTATTTCAGATATTCGTATCACAACCTCCGAAAAGGGCTCCAGACAATGAATAGCAACTTTAAACAAAATATCTATATATCTAATTCCGAAGATGCCCCCTGGTGTGCGGATACCTAAATCCGCGCATCGGGGGCACCTGGGGGGCGGGAGATTTTTGTGCACACTTGGGACGGTCCCCAGGTGTGCACAAAAATCTTAAAACCTAAAAAAAATATTGGGGGGATAGTTAAATCCCCCCAAAAGTGACAGAGCATCCCCTGCGCACGCGCAGGGAACGCTCTGCAGCCGGCTTCGCTGCTGCTGCCGCCGCCTCGGAGCCGGCCGGGGGCAGCGAGGCCCAAGCGGCTGCAAGCCGCCGGGACTCACTTGGGGGGGAAAAGAGCGCCTTTGCAGCGGGGAGGGGGAACCGGTGAGGGCCCGGCGGGGGGACGGCAAAGGCCTGGCGGCTACAAGCCACACGGGCCTCGGTTTGCAGCCGGGGGGGAGCGGCGAAGGCCCGGCGACTACAAGCCGCGTGGGCCTCGCTTTGCAGCGGGGGGGGGAAGGACCCCCGAGGCCCAGCGGCTGCAAGCCACTCGGGCCTCGGTTCGGAGCTGAGGAGGCGGGGGTGGAGGAGATGGAGGAACCGGTGGGATGGCGGGGGAGAGCTTACCTGCTCCTGCTGGTTCCTCCGGTTGCCGAGTTTGGAGCTCCCCCCCCCCGCGAGTTTCGCGGGTCTTCTTTCTTGTATATATATATTTGCCATATATCACTTATGTAGAACCTAGCCTGAACTATGACACTCTCACCCAGCAAGTGCTGGTTCTTGGAAGAAAATGAGGCAGACTTTTCATACGCGGTCAGCAAGTGTACGCGTGCCTCCAGCTATTGGAAATGAGCTGTGAAAATTATTTTAGCTGGTCTGAGAAAACAGATACCCTACAAGCCAAATCCAGAGATGCTGCTGCTAAATTATCTACCTGACATCCCTAGTGACTTGTTAATGGTTGCCTTGCACATGATTACTGCAGCCAGGTTAGTCTTTGCAAGGCAATGGAAACAACAACAAAAACTTCCTAAGTTACAAGACTGATGGTTGAAAATAAAGGAGGTCTGTACCCTTGTGAAATTAAAAGCACACCAGAAAAACGGAGACGCATTTGGATTAGACCTACTACGGCCAAGGGCTACAGAGAGAATGGAACTGGCAACAGAATAGACTGAATTAATACCATAATTGTCCCATGCTGATAAAGGTTGTCTGTGTCCATGGTCGTAAAGGGGAAAGGGATGGTTATGGTTATATTTTATGCACCTTTGTACTTTGCATTTCCTTTCGTTGTTTGTTTTAATCAATATGTTTTTTAAAAAATAAACTACTACAGTCCCAAAGCTTTTGCCTATAGTCAACAAAATTCAGTATTCGACAAACAGATTCTCTAAACAAGGATGGACTTGGTCCTACAACAAGATAAATATGCATTCTGCAGTTTCGTTAGAGAGAGCAGGAAGTTAAATTGTTACATACCATCCAAGCCTATGGTGTACATCCCACTGAAACTGCGTGAAACGGAGAATATGGCCCAAAAAGGGAAATGTCAAAGTCACTTTTGTTAATTTAAACTTAATCTAAAAGTAACATTTGCACTGGCATCTCCCAGAAAGGTGTTAATACTACTGTAAGCAGTTCATTCAGTCAAGATTCCAGGCAAACAAAAACATAACATATTTATGTAAGATCCTTATGTAAGAATCCTTAGGAAGATAACCTATTCATTTTTTTAAATCACGTTTTATAACCTGGAGGCGTCTAGATTATAGTTATTCAAACATGCAAAACATGTTGTCTTGAACTTCTTGAATGCTGTCATCAGGATCAATACAACCACACTAACCTAATTCTTTGCCCTAATTTCTCATTGTCTTGAAATCTGGAGAAAACCATTTTCATACCCTGGTTATGGGCCAACAGGACCCACATCGGCCCATCAGATTATCCCAGAAGGCCGCAAGCCCACCCCCCCACCCCCACCCTGGCCTTTCTTGCCCCGACTTTCAAAGTAAGCCACTTGTATGAACAAGCTCTCCCCCAGAAATTAGTAGATGGGAAAACTGGCCAAGACAGGTTTGGTAAAAGCCAAACCAGTTGCTCCAGATTCTAGTTTAACAATTACCATCTTATCGCAATGTGGAGGCTGCATCAAGTCACACTTATTTGATTAAAACTATTTGTCACTGCACACATGGGAGAAGGATGCATATTGTACACAAATCACCTAATAAAATATAAATGGGGGGGGGAGATCCTAAATGACAGCCGTCACACCCTTCCACATTTTGCATCATCAACTTCCTATCCAATTGTTTGGGCAGCAAGGGCAAATATTCAAATCTTACAATTGCTCCTTCATCCTCATTCTAAAGCAAATCTCTCTCTAAAGCAAGGATGTCAAACATACAGCCTGCAGGCTAGAGTCGGCACATTCGGGGCTCTCATCTGGCCTGCAAACAACTGGTGCTGTTCTCAGCCCATGAGAGGAAAAGGGTCATGGGAGAACAAAAAACACCCTGGAGGTTTTGGAAACAGCCTCTCTGTCAGGCCTTCCTCTCAGACCACCACCACCACCCCGCTTCTATGGGAAATGCAGGAAAGATAAGAAGGAGAAGAGACTGTATTTATACTCTGCCCTTCACTACCCAAAGGAATCTCAGAGTGGCTTACGAACTCCTTTCCCTTCCCCTCCCCACAACAGACACCCTGTAAGGTAGGTGGGGCTGAGAGAGCTCCGACAGAAATTGCTCTTTTTCAAGGACAGCTGTGCCAGAAATATGGCTTGCCCAAGGTCATCCAGCAGCTGCAAGTGGAGGAGTGGGGAATCAAACCCGGTTCTCCCAGATTAGGGTCCACGCACTTAACCAAACTGGCTCTCCACCAAACTGGCTCTCACCAAACTGGATAAGACCTGGGGGTGGGAATGTTTTAATTCTCTGTCTAGATGTGAACTGCATGTAGGGGTTTATTTGTAGGGTTGTTGTGGCCTATGGCTACGACAATAAATATTGTTGACTTTGAACTGGGGGTGGGGGGATCTGGGAGAGCCAGGCTTTTGTGGATCCCCCAGTAAATCAGGGTTTTTTTTTCACTACTAGGAATCAATTGCTTTTCTGTGTATTTTGAGTAAAAAAATAATATCATTAATCAAGTTCGCCTGTGTCCTTTATAAAGTTTATATCTCCAGTATCTGGCATTACATTTATGGCACACAAGCCCAACGAACTGTCACTTATCTTAGATCCCGCTCTTGTAACAAATGAGTTTGATACCTCTGCTTTAAATGTAGAATACCCCCACAACAATCCTCCATGGGCACAATTGACATTAAATTTAGTATATCTAAATTTGATGAAAGTATTGTCTGAAATCCTAAACAGCAGAGAAATAGGTACTCGTTTTCAGTTCCTGACTAAGCAACATCATAGAAGACCCTTTCCTGACCTAGCGAAAAGTACTGGCACAAGAGTTCTTGGCTCTTTGCAAAGTTACTGCTACCCTTGTGGAACGGCATATGGATTCTGTCAACACGTTCTTCCCCTGACATTGAGCAGACAGTGCAAGGCCCCCGGAGCAGACCAGAATCACATTTGTTAAGCGTGCCTCTGTTCAACTAAGGGAGAGAACACAATGACCATGACTTAACATCTGCACATTTATGATGACATGATGAAGAGATCCAGTCCGGGGTAGTAGTTAAGAGTGTCAGACTGGGTTTCTGGAAGGCCCGGATTCAAATCCCCACCCTTGGGTTGGCCCTGGTCAGTGTTTGGATGGGGAATCATCAAGGAAGTCCAGACTCACAACGCAGGCAATGGCACACCACCTCTGAATGCCCCTGGCCTTGGAAACCCTACGGGGCCACTGTCAGTCAGCTATGACCTGATGGCCCTTTCCACCACCCGCAGCTCAGAAGATAACTAATTTCTACCGGGTTCAGTTCTCTAGAAGAAAGTAAAGCACGAATTTAAAAATAAAAATAAAAGAGAAGACTTATGGCCCCCCTGCTGTGCCGACTGTAAAATACAAACTGCAAATTTTTTTAACCCCAGTGTAACACCACAGTTAGGGCTGCAGTGGCTCAAGTGGTTAAGACGCTGAACTGCAGACCGGAAGGTCGGTAGTTCAGCCGTTCAAGACCCGAGTGCCGCATGACGGAGTGAGCTCCCGTCTCTGGCCCCGGCTCCTGCCAACCTAGCAGTTCAAAAGAAATTGCAAGCAGATAAATAGGTACCGCTTTGGGGGGGAGGTAACAGCGTTCTGCGTACCTCGGCATCTAGTCATGCCAGCCACATGACCACAGAAACGTCTCTGGACAGCGCTGGCTCTTCGGCTTGGAAACAGAGATGAGCACCGCAACCGTAGAGTCGGATTCAACTGGCTTTTGAGTAAAGGAAACCTTTACCTTTTATGAACAGTAAGAGGGCCTGGTACTTAGCTTCGCAGAGACCTCAGCAGCCCGTACCAGATACCACAGCTGCCTGTACCCACGTTCACATCAGGAAAATGGCAGCGGGTACCGGAAATGCCTACTGAAAGGTGTCCGCCAAAGCAGGTTCCTGGGGCCCCCTTTGGCTCTGTCTGAGTTTCTATGGGGTCGCGGGCAGAGTCAATGTCATCAGCCCTCCGATCCTTGCTTAACTCAAAATATTTCCTGTTGTTTTCTTTTAAACTGGAGTGCTATTGTGAGCTCTCCTACATCACAAAATAAAATTTAAACCTTCCCTGAAGCAGAAGAAAACTT